TTTTTTCCTACCTCTATCTTAAGAACATATTAATAATTATTAAATATTTTTTATTATAAATTTATGTTAAAAATAAAAATTAATTTTTATTTTATAATTTAATATAATTTAAATTACAAAACATGTAACTCCAATAAAAATGAGTAATCATCAATTGATTGCATTATGTAAACCTGATTTTATAATCTATGATGTAATTAGTTTGCACCTTCCTGCGTACGTAAGTGGAGAATTTCCTCCATCTATTAGTACAAGTATAAGTGTTTGTTTGGTATGATTGGAGTTTTTAATAGAAGTTTTATTGAAAAAAAAAAACTATTGTAAAAGTGTTATTTTTGTAAATAGAAAAAAATAAGGATAAAATAAGAATAATGTGTTAATTTCATTAAAACTCAAAAGAAAAGCTCCTGCAAAAACATTAATTCGGTGCTTCTGAGATTTGTAATAAAATAGATAAAAAGCTAACTTGTGAAAAATTATAGCATTTTTTACAAATTGTACTGTTTGATACAACTGAAATTTTTTAAATCCAAAAAAACTTTTCACCTAGTTATACTAAACATGCCTAAATAAGGACACACCGGCCTAATAAGAAAAAGAAAAGAAATAAAGACCTCTAGGGAATTTGAATTATATATAAAGGAACAAATAAAGAAATGGTTCATATTAATTGGACATGAAATTGGAAATCATGATTGGATGCTACAAAGTTGAAAGTTCCTGAGGACTAAATGTTTATGGTTGTGCATGCTGACCCTTAACGCAATAATTAATCAGAACCATAGAATTAATAATGGCCTAAGAATGGGTCAAGGCTACAAGGCTTGACCATATATATGATCCATAGACACAAAGGAAAAGCAAAATCCAGGTGGGGCTTTGTGGATATGGGCCACACAAATTGCGTTTAATTAGTTTAATACATATTTTATTAATTCATAATTTTTTTTTAAAAATTATTAATTATGATGTTTGAAAAAATAAATAATTAATTAATTATTTTATTAAGTATTAATAAATATTAGTTATTTTATTTATTATTAATTGTTCTTAATAATTAAACTAAATCAAATCAATATTTTGAAAAATAATATTATATAACTTTAAGATATTTATGTTTATTCATAATCACAACAACCATATAGTAGTATCCAATCTTTCTCTTCTTTATGTCTCTTATCTCTTATCAACCTATTGCTTAAACTTTTTGCTTAAACTTTTTGCAATTAATTAGTTTTTAAATATATTTGGACATCTTTGTCTTGTCCAATAATTGCTAGCTAGTAAAGAGCACAACATCAATTTCTACTTTATATATAGGAGGGAATTAAGTTGTGGTTTTGTCCTTTTAATAAAGAGGTTATAGTGGGTAGTGACAAATGGGGATGATGAATTGATGATCCAATGTGACATATGATTCTTACATATAGTTGGGTAAGGAAGGAAGGCATAACCACATTCTCGCAAGTCTGAATACATGCATCAACCTCAGTTTCACCTTCTCTATCTTTTAAAAGTGTAATAAAGAATGACCCAAAAGTGATCAATGAGTCCCACAACTAGATTCATCAACTTTTGAGCATATTTTGCCATCCAATTAGATGCATCTCTTTAAAATTGGATAATTAACTCCACTTGATCTAAAAAGAGAAACTTTTTAAGCTTTTTCCCCTAAAATAATATATAACATATAACAGGCAAATATTTAAATTTATCAGTATTAATTTAAATTTAAAAAAAAATTAACAATATTTTAAATTGATTTATCTAAATCTCTTTAATCATACGCTTTTTTTAATATAAATTTTAATTGATGATACTAACTATTTGAACAATATTATAAATTTATACTAATTAACATGGGAGGTAAAACAACTTATACATATATATAAAAGACTACATACATACCAATTAACTAAATAATTTAATAGTTATTTTTTTATGCTTGAAGTAAGAGATTCTGAGTTTGAATCACATGATATGCGGACAGGATGAAATAAAAAATAAAAAATAATTACCTTTCATTATATAACTAAGATTAAAAAAAAAAAAAAAAAAACTAGGTACGTGTATGAACCAATTTGATTTGGATTTGTTGGAAAAGAAAAATGATAAAATTGGCTTATCAACTTTAGATCAAATTCGAAAAACATATGAAGACAAAGGAGTATGTGATTTGTGAAAAAAGTAAATTTTCAGCAAGCTCCCGACCAAAAGCGCACAAATTAATCCCAGAAAATCTCTGGAGATTTTAATGTCCAAAAGGGTTTTTATAAATTCCAGTTGTTTCCATCATTTTGGCTTCAAATGGGACTAAAGGCACAAAACACACGCAAGATGGGGTCGGAGGGCAGTGGCATCGAATGCACATCGCTTTCCAACCATGCAATTGGGGCCAACGTAAAGATATCCCAATTTATGAGCTCTGGATTCTATTACCCTTTCTCACTTTAATTCTGAGGGTGAGTGTGACTTTTGCAAAACATTCATTTGCATCGTTTACCGACCCGGCCATTTCAAAGTTAGTAACTGACTTTCAAACTTTTGGGGAATGGTTATGCCCCATGTTTTTGTTAAAGATCAAACGCAGATATTATAAGAATGTTTGATATTTAGACTGTAAAAAATCATTATTAATTAATAATTTATAAAAATAATTGATATTTACTTTTAATAAAAATTTACCAACATATATATATTTAAAATTCTCAATTACTTTAATAAATTATAAATTAATAAAATCATTTATATTAAATAACTTTATAATATATTTACATTTTTTTTGAATAAGGACAATTATTGGAGTAATAAAAAAGGAATGAGTCCAACTCATGGACCAAGAGAAGCACCAATAACCCGTAAGAGTCGAACTCTCAACTAATCCTATTAAAGTATTAAGGCTTGGAAATGAGTCCATAATATATTTGCATTGTTTTAACAATGATTTGTGTTTTTACAGCTATTGATTCTCTTAACAAATTTGGATCTATTTAATGGAATTTCTTGAAGTTTTTAATTTTTTAATATTTTTTATGAATTATAAGTTTAAATTTTTATTGATAAAAAAATTTAAAAATTACTTTAAAAAATTATAAAATGTGAGTAAAAAGTAAGTTAAAATGAAATTTATAAAAAATTTAAATTTAAAGCTTAAGTTTGAAAATTAAGTTTAAAAAATTTTCAAATTCATTATTTAAGATTTTTTTAAGTTAAAAAAAATTAAAAATATAATTTAAAAAAATTTAAATTTATAAAATACAAATAACATCAAAAAATTAAAATATTTATAAATTTCATCAAATATGCTCTCTCTTTAACTAGATTTTAATCAACTTTGCATTGTACGGTATAGAAAATCTCACGAGAAATTGACTTTGAAGATGGGAAATGGAAGAAAAAATGGTTTTCATGCGGCTAGCCGACCCGAGCCGACCCGAGCCATTAGCCATAGGACTTGTTCATAAAGCGTCATAGTGTACCCCGCCGGTGAGATATGGTGCTGTCACATACAGGACCAGCAGTCGGTGACTCGGTGTTAAAAGACTCTGGTTAAGGGACTCTTGCAATTTGTTACTGCATAAATTA